CACGCAGAGAACGAACGGAAGCAAGTCTGCTTTGGATACTCGCAGAACCTTTCACCGAGAATATCACGATTCGTTCATTTCACAAAAAATATATATCAAGAATTAAACCGAAAAACAACGTTCGATGGAGAATTTTGCAACGTTTCTCAACTCCTCTTCGTCAGTTTCTGGCGTCCAATCAATTCTTCACCCCCGTGCTCATCAGAGTGGACACGGTCTCTGACGTTTCACCCCCAATCCGAGCTGCAAATCAAAAGAGATATGCATGAAATGTATTTATTCCACCAATATTTCAAACCTGTTCATCCTTTCGTTACTTTTATCGCACTTCCAAGCTTATATACAGGATCATTTCGCTCTCTTGAGTTCACCTTATGCTTTTCAACCCTCATTAGATGAAATTCTTGATGAATATGCTGGATGCAGACCCTATATTAATCAATACTGGACGTATGAACTTCAATCGCAGTTGCGTACACAGTGCTGCATATATAGAGGTATCGCCCTAGCCTGACCTTCTTTCGATTGAGATGATATATGGTCATGACACCTGGTCGAGTTTTCTACGTTCCATCGGAGTATTAGTTCAAGGTACGGTATGTTGATGGAGGTAATTTTCTTAATAGAACTGATTCGAGTAAAATACAAGCATGCACTGCTGTATACCTCTGAAATTTCCGAAAGCGTTGAGAGTACATTTACTATATGTATCTATAGTCTATATACTCTATACTCTATAGCAAAAGGTCTATATAGTCTATAGTCTATATGGGGTCTATAGCAAAAGTTCATTGGATAGAAAATGAACCAGCATATGATTAACCTAAAAACATTCAGTGTTCAGGAAAAACTCCTTGAAAAAATAAAAACAGCCCTATTTGATAGATTTTTATACATAATTTGTTTGCTGTCGCAGAAGTAACGCTGGGAGCTCATTCCTCAAAAGATAGGCACCCATCTTTCAGATTTTTTGGTGTTACCCGGATTCTCCTTCAAAATTTATGAAATCATCATGGCAGTGATTCCAAGTGTTGCCTCCTTCGGGTCTTCAAAGGTAAATCCACATCTTCATCAACAGGCTGTTGCGTAAAATGGCAGAATCAATATTAAATTAATGGCGACAACCATAATTGGAATTGATGCCATTTCAATTTCAAGAATTCTGAAGGGGAAAGCTGGGCTTATAGAGTATCAAAAAATCTGCGAGATGGGCGCCTCATCTTTCGAGTGAAGAGCAGAGAAGTGACTTTTGCAAAATTTCCCACAAAATATGTCGAAGAGGGATGCTTTTTTTTTCCTTGGGCCAAATGATGTTTTTTCCTGAAAAAAAATTATTTTCCAGCTCAATCGTTCGCAGTTTTAGTTTGTTATAGATCACGAATAGTATGCGGTGCATGTGTATAATAATGACACAGATAAATAACCATGTTTGATCATTGCTATTCCCAGCATTCCGCATTCAAAAACTGTAAGCAATCAAGTCAGGCAACTGATGAAGAGGATACTCGTGCATCAATTGTCGAAAAGTGTCACCAGCAGTGATTGTATATACTGTACTGTACTTGGCTGATGCACTCACATTGGGGTACTCGCACACTTGCGATGAGACGGTCAACTCAGCCATATTTGCGAATGTGTATCCGAGGATGCCCAAGGCCACGAAGAAGCACAGCGCGGAGAGAATCAAGCGCATGAAAGACATGGTCTGCGCTCTACTCCATTTCCAGACACTGTTGAAAAGGAAGAAATAAGGGAAGCTGCTGGGCTGAATAATACTGCTGAGCTCAGCACTGCAAAAACGATACAGAAAGAAGAAGAAAAAAAAGAAAGTTGCAGATTGGTTCAATTTGAAAAATTCTGAAACCTGCTGCTGGAGGAACGTGGACGAGCTCGGGCGATGCTGTTGCTCCTGCTGGACCCGATTCCTTCGAAGCTCGCTGAACCCTGCGAGCGTCGATGGACGTCTTTTGGGGCCGTCGAAGACGAAGCCGACGACGACGACGACGACGAAGTTCCGAGCCGTTGGTGGATTTTCTGCATCAACACGGACTCGCTGTGGACGGACCCACGTTGGGCAGAATCCCGATGACCGGCGTGCACCGATTGCTGAGAGTCACTGCGATGCCTTCAGCAGAATCAAAGACGGTTCAATAAAACACACACGTTCCTCAATTTTGATTTCTTAATTGCAGCAATTGTCCACTCTTTACTTCGAGGGTAGCATTATTTGGACTTCCTTTCCAGGCCAATTCAAGTTCACGACTCGTGGAAATAAGACACACGTTTCGTATTTTTCAGAGTGCCGAATTGTTTGAATTTATCCCTTTCGCATTGGATGGTCACCTTGCTTCGGACAAAATAAGAACTCGAGAACATCACGTCCAAAACTTCCTCATATGATACTATTTTTGCCATCTGATAACGTTCGATTACCCTATGCTGTATAACTAAACGATTCATTTGGGATGAGAAGGGGTATTTTGATTCACGTGGCCCAGCGAACCCTGAAGCTGCCTAGCCAGGATTTAGTGGGTTTTTCTACTCTACCGAGACGGTACACATAATAATGCAGTCCTCATACACCGTAAAAGCGGGGTTGCTATAGTTTTAATAACAGGAAAGGGCCCATAATAAAATATTGTATGTGCAGAAAATAATACTGTACAGGGGGTCACCGAGATGCGGATTTAATTGGTGCTTGGACCCTTTTCTGCGTCAGAGCGTCTGCAGGTTGGATCACATTTTCCCAGTCTTTAATGGGAGCATATTTAATTGCTTCTTCCGCCATCAAAAAATTACGAATGAAGTCACCAAAAAATTGAAAAAAAAATTGTTCTCAAATTCAAAATACAGAAAAAAACCACAGATCTTCTGGAATCAGAAAGAGCTCGCTGAAGCAAAGAACACGAGCAAGTCCAAGTGTACTGTTTTCACAAGACAAGAAAAAATTTCTTTAAAAAATGAAGCACAAAATTGGCTCATTCATGATTATGAATCAAAGTAATTTCATCATGAAATGTTTTTATATTTTGTTCATGTGAGTAGATTTATTTGTTTAAGAGGTATCAAAATTCGGAAAAACGAAAACTTTCATTTTTTTATAAATCCTGGGAGATTGCTGATATTGAGACTTGGTCCGAATGCGGAGCGGATAATAATTTTTTTTTTGTGTCCCTAAGCCGAATCGCTCGTACAGGTCAGTGTCCCACTTTTTTTTTAAATGTTCATAAATGCGTAAAAGAAAAAGACGACTTGTACAGTACTTCGAAGCGTGCATAATACAGTACTGCTGTACACGAACCTCAGAGATGATCCATCACTGCTGGACGCATTGCTGTGCATATTGGACGAGGGTCCTCCTGTCTCGGAAAAGCCGCTTCCGCTCCGATCCCTTGCGACATGGTCTTCCTCCACAATTGGACTACATGCCGTCGTCAACCCTCTTATGCATAAATAAAGCAAATAACCGCGAATAAAGAAGAAGAAAAAAAAAGAGTTAAATAATGCCGGCAATCGGTGTCATCGTCGTGAAGCAGCAGTACCCTCCGCAGCTGGCCGCAGTTTCGTCACCGCCAGTCATCGTCGTCGTCATCGCAGGCGTCGAGGACTCGGCAATTATCAGGCCGGAAACATGTGCGGCATGAGAGGAACCACCGAATACCGGACTCCCACACCGATCCGAAACAGACACGCTTCTTCCGCCCGGCTTGCTGTGACCTCCTCTCTGCTTCAAGTCCTGAATAATCACAACACTCGACATGTGAAAAAATATCTGCAGCGCGTGATGCGTGTTTATAGCCGCAAACGAAAAGAGCCTGCTGTCGACGAGTCACTAATAATACGATATTCACACACACATACACACGCCGTCGTGTTTCCCCAACCAAGTAAGAGTTTTCCATCAAATAACCAGGATGCCACCCGAACACAATTTCAAGCTTACAGAGTACAGGTACAATCTTTCCCGACTCAGAACAACTTTATATGGTGTACCATTAAATGAAATATCGCATTCATCTACTGTAATAACAATCACATCTCCAAGCTCGAGAGCACACCTTCGTTTTTTTTGGCTGAAAACTAGAAAAAAACCCATCAAGGCATAATAGCTTTTGAATTAAGTTTTCCACAACCGGAATTTTCACAAGTAAAAGCTTTTCAGTCCCAGGGAACTCAGTTTAAATGGGCATTTTCATTTCACCTGCCTCTGTTGTATGCAATTACGTCTTAAATGTCATAATATTTTTATAAAACCAGGTTTAATCCGTCTGAATTTAATTTTCACTTGAGCGTAAATTCATATTTGGTACGACAGCTTTAAAAAAAAAAAATATCCACCTTACCTAATTTGACTTCGTGGTGAAGAGTAAATCTTTTCACCACGAAGCGTTTGGAACATCAAAAAAGCTTAGTTATAAAAAAGTTCGTAAAAACGAAATTAAAATAACAGTGTGGACCAAGGACTAAAATAATAATAATAATGATTTGTAAGCATTAATTTGCTATAACAAGATTCGTTGCAACGAGATTTTTACTGTATTATTCCGCGCACTAAAAATGTCAACATTGTCAGAAAAACATGCTGAATACTGGACTATACTAGAGTATGACGTGCACTCAAATTCCTGGGATTAAAATATGCACGCGGTACTTGCCTAGAATGGAGGACAGCACAGTATTTGTTTTCACCCAATTATAGTCCGGAATAAATTCAGGAATAAATTGCATATAGCCAATGTAGCTAGACAAATTCTACAAATTTACTTGTATTTTAAAATTGGCCGTAGAGTTCCCAGCAGATCTGTCGTTGAAAAACCTTTATCAAAATCACGATTACCGTGCGTATAATAATGCGAGGTCTTCCGGTGGTATTTTTATTTTTTTTTTTAGGAAAATGATGATAAAATGTTAGTTATTAAATTTCTGTTTCATTTTGGGAGAAACACGGGTAATTGCCAAACAGGTGCGTGTCATCTGTGTTGTTCCAAACATCAAATAAAGCGTAGAGAAAAATGACGATCCCATCCACACGTGAAGCGGACACAAATTGTCTCGACAGAAACGCTACGCAACTTTCCGTCGTTTCATCACAAATGAAGATACACAATAATTTGCAACAACAACAACAAAAATCCTGCTGGCTGGCATCTATATAAGAAACGAAGTCGTTTCTCATTAGCATTCACACACAGCGGGGCGCCGTTCGCTCCGCATCTGAAGCCAAACGACTCAGATCACAGTACTGTATACAAACCAACCATCATTCAGAGTACAATATAATTAGCCAAATCCCGAAGGGGGCCGAAAAAACGAAACAAAACAACAAAAACGAACACACACACACACACTTGACAATAAGCACAGCAGCATTCAGGAGTTGAAAAGTGTTGTCTCACCCAACCGACAGCCTGATGCTCAGAAAAAAGACCAAGGAAACTCTGGGACGTTGGATGATACCGTGAGTTGGAGAGGCCACGGTCCTGATCCTCGTCCCCAGAATTTACCGGCCATTTACTGCCAATTGACTCAATCGGAAAGGACAAGGACCTACTCCCAGATCCGTTGGCAAAAGTGTAACGTCGTTTCGCAGCAGGATTTTTCTTCGAAATACATCCCAGAAAAAACTTCTTGCTCCAGCACAGACTTTTTCTTTTCAGCGATTTCATGATTAGTTATCATTTCAACCCTCAACAATTTTCACGATGATGCCAATAGAGTACATACTGTATTCCCAAGGAAAATCTCTTCAAATAAAAAATTACGAAAATTATCAAGATAAAAACATGAAACTTTTTCGCGGAAAAGAACCTAGATTCCAACCATATTTCTCTCATCGTAAGTCTTCATTGCGGGAATATTTTTTGTCGGAATTAGCACACCTCTCAAGAATTTATGGCGAGCTGATGAAATACAGTATTTGCATGTGCTTGAGTTACGAAAATAAAAAGCTGAAGTCTTGCAGGATAATAATTCTACCTCACACAGCGTGGATTCTTCGTCAAGTCTCAATTCGTGAAACTTCGCCAATTTTCTGCTGGAGTTCCACGCTCGAAGGTCAGTCGTGAGCTCGTGATAAAAACATTAGAACACGAACCTCACAATACTGCATACAGGTACTGTATATTTAAATTTTTCATCTGCGTCCTATCCCCACAGTCTGAAGTTGAATTCCAAACTGTCGTCACAATAAGCTATCCTAACTTTCGGACTTTCATTCAGCTCATTTTCTTATTGTTATACAGCCCTGCATCACACCTAGTACTTATTGTGCCCATTAATGAGGAATGATATCCGAGTACGGTTCATTTGATCGTTCAAGTTTCAAGGCGGAAGCTTCTGCTGTGTCGAGAGATCCGTCAGTTTAAAAAACTGTTCAAGTCAAGTCTTCTCCACTCAGCAGTATTACTCCTAGAAAAACAGCGGGAGACCAGCGATATAAATCGCATTACTCAACTACGGAGTAATTTTAACAGCCCCGCATTAAAAAGGCTCGAGAGTTACAAAAGTCTAGGATACCCAAGAATAATTCCTTGGCCGCAGGGTATTTTAAAAGATATTCACACTATTATTAACCTCGTAAAGAGGAATTTGATTCTTTCAGACAACTCGTCATTATAAATGCTCGTGAAACTTCCGCGGTTTGAGTATAATAATGCGAGTCCAGCTAACGAACTTCCCTGAAAACTAAGAAATTCTCGAAAAAATTACGTCCCGGTTTTTCAAGAACTCAAAGCCAGCTGATAAACTCATAAAACATTTGAAAATTGCGTCAGTATAATATTCCGGTAATCGGAAAAATAAACATACTGAAAGTGGACAAAGACCGAATATGATTTTCACAGAATCTGACTAAAACGAATAGAAAAACGGCGAAGGATTTGAAGGATACCTACTTCTCTCCAATTAGAACAACGTGAATATGCGTTAATTAGATAAAATTCGAGATTACTGATTTTATAACACTAAGGTACCGACGTCGAATTCGTTTTTTGCTCTCTTCAGCTATTACCTAAAAAAAGAACAAGTAAAGTACAGTACTGTACTGTAGTAACACAAAAATTCAACAACCGTTCGGAAATTTTCATCATTGTAACAAAAGAGGTTTCTGCCAAGAAGTGACAATAAACTACGCATAAGACGTAATTTCAGAGGATGGACCGCTGGGAATATGAAGAATAAAAGAAATTGAATATTTATATATATAGAGGAACCAGCGTCGACTGCAGCACCGCTTGTGGATTTATTTTCAGGGAATAATTTGTTGAAGTTAAGCAGAGAAAATGTAATGATTTCATATGAATTAGCACAATGTCTCCGCATACCAACACTTTTACAACATTTCTAGAAAAATTGAAAAATACAATTTTCAAATTTTTTGCCTTTTGATTAATTCAGTGATATATACTCTTATATACGGTATATAAAAATGTGTCATAATGAAATTACTCAAATCATAATTTTAAACGAGCATCTTTTAACGTTTTTCAGATTTAATTTACCATCACGACAATACAGTGCATAGCTGGACTTGCTGTTGCTCTTTTATTCTTGATCTCCCTCTAAAGCAAAGAAATGAGATTTTTCCACGGTTTTCTTCAAGACACAGTTTTTTCCTCCTCGTTAAACTCAAAGATTTTTCTTTTCAATTTTGGGGACTTCACTCAGAAATTTTTGATGAACATGCACGAAAACCCAGATAGATATCTTGCCATCACATGCTATAAGAAAACGCGATCCGACATGCGGACGACCTGACCTAAGGACAACGCCGAAGCACCAATTATGTCCGCATCCTGAGGCCCACCCCCCTCCCCCAATGTATTTCGTCTCCACTTGATTCTTTTCTTTAATAAAAAAATTACCCGTCACCAAAATCCGCGTGAAGTTTACCACTGATTTATTTTTATTTTTTTTGCATGATTTTGCGAGTAATGTCGTCGCATATTCAGCAACAAGTAATCAGATAAATTCACGTCAGTTTTCAACTTCAACCAATATTTCGCTCGCAAATTCAACTCCGGGCACGACCTTCACCTTCAACGCTATTTTCGTCGCGATTTGGCCTCGAAAGGCTTCATATGGAGACGCTAAATTCTCTTGCATTCAATTTGTAAAAAATAGAAACAAAAAATTGCCTAGATTAACCTCCTTCATGGTGGTGAAACAACTCCGCCCCAAATTATTCTCACCATTCGCACAGCAGCCGTTGCAGCAACGGAAACGGTGCGCAGACGCCCGGACCTACTTCCGTCTTCGCCGCTGTTCCCTCCGTTCAAAGCGCTCGACGACATGCCCGTCGACGG